TACCCAAAGTGATATACAAATTCAATGCAATCCCCATCAAAATTCCAATGACATTTTTCTCAGAAATGGAAAGAACTATCCAGACATTTATAGAGAATAACAAAAGACCACACGTAGCTAAAGCAACACTGAGCAAAAAAAATAAAGCTGGAGGTATAACACTACCTGACTTTCAACTATACTACAAAGCTATAATAACCAAAACAGTATGTTACTGGCATAAAAACAGACACACTGATCAATGGATTAGAATCCCGAATCCAGAAATCAACCCACACACCTATAGCTATCTGATCTTTGACAAAGGCACCAAGCCTATACACTGGGGAAGAGACTGCCTCTTCAGCAAATGGTGTTGAGAGAACTGGATATCAATATGAAGGAGAATGGAACTAGACCCATACCTTTCACTATACACTAAAGTCAACTCAAAATGGATTAAAGAATTAAATATACACCCTGAAACAATAAAACTTCTTAAAGAAAGCGTAGGAGAAACACTTCAGGAAGTAGGACTGGACACAGACTTCATGTATATGACCCCAAAAGCACGGGTTTACAAGATAAAAATAAGCAACCCAACTAAAAAATGGGCAAAAGAGCTAAATAGGCATTTCTCTAAGGAAGATATACAAATGGCCAACAGACATATGAAAAAATGCTCAACATCACTCAGCATTCGGGAAATGCAAACCAAAACCACACTGAGATACCATCTCACCCTAGTTAGGATGGCTAAAATCCAAAAGACTCTGAATGATAAATGCTGGTGAGGTTGCGGAGGAAAAGGCACTCTCATACATTGTTGATGGGACTGTAAAATGATGTGGGACTCTATGGAAAATGGTATGGATGTTCCTCAAACAATTGCAGATAGATCTACCCTATGATCCAGCTATCCCAGTGCTGGGAATATACCCAGAGGAATGGAAATCATCAAGTCAAAGGTATACCTGTTCCCCAATGTTCATAGCAGCACTCTTCACAATAGCCAAGATTTGGAGCCAGCCCAAATGTCCATCATCGGATGAGTGGATACAGAAAATGTAGTATATCTACACAATGGAATACGATTCAGCTATAAAAAAGAATGAAATATTGCCATTTGCAACAACATGGATGGACCTACAGAGAATTATATTAAGTGCAACAAGTCAGGCACAGAAAGAGAAATAGCACATGTTCTCACTTATTGGTGGGAGCTAAAAATAAATAAATAAATAGACACACACACACACACACACACACATACCGGGGGCGGGGAAGAAGAAGACATAAGAATTGCAATTCCTTGAAGTTGATATGACAAGCAAACAGGAAGGACATTGTTGGGAGGGATTAGGGAGAGGGGAAATGGAGTGCGGAATGGGAGGGAGGGAGGTTTAGGTAATGGGCCACAATAATCAACCACATTGTATATTGACAAAATAAAATAATAAACAAAAATAAAAAATAAATTTAAAATTTCAAAAAAAAATAAAAGGCTGGAAAGCATTGCAAACTTCTAAAGTCAACTTTAGAAAGCATATTTAAAATATTTTTTATTGTTTTCCTATGGGATGCTGCTAGTTAATAAAACACACAAATGTGCATTGTGCGCACACACACACACACACACACAGTAAAATTCCTGTAAGGGTGACCTTGTCTTTAAGGTTAAGAGCTTGCTTTCTTATAAAATACTTTGCATGTCTTATGCAAATGTTTTTTCTATGTTGTCTACCTTTATCTTTAGCTCACCAGAAGTCTTCCCAAAACAAGTTTTATTTAAGGAAAATATATGGATGTTTAATACCTCCATATTATGTCTTAAAGATTAAATATTTTTTAAAAGAACCCAATAATTTTCATCCCTTATTTTTTCCATATACCTTTTCTAAACTCTAGTACCATTCATTGAACATCCATTTTTTAAGTACCTGTGTGCCAAACTCCAAGCTCTAGGAGTGCATAGTGCAGCCAGCAGGTGAAACAAGCACCATCATTGTGCTGATGAGATCAGGGGCACAGGGGCCAGGAAGCAGGGCACGTGGGGGTGGGCATAACTAACCAGTGTGGAATGCCCAGAGAAGGGTTCAAAAATGAAGGCACGTTTGAACAGATTCTTGAAGAAAGAGAATTTATTTGAAAAAGAGACAAGAGAAGAAAATAGCATTTCAGGCAGGGGGATTATTGGGCCAATTTACAGAGATGTAAAAACACAGAGCCATTTGGGGGAATAGCAAAAAAGTATGATTTAACTAGAAGTGAAAGTAGGAAAAGAAAGAGGGTAGAAAATAAAGGCAAAGGTCAAGAGGGATGTTTTGTCCTAGAATAAGGTTTTTTGTTTGGGGATTTTATTTAGTATAATGATGAGGCGTTTCAAGATTGAAGGCAAACATGCCGATATCAGATTCACAATTCCTCAGGGCAAATCTGTCCATCATTATTATCTTTTTCTGTTATTATTATTCTCATTCTACTTCTTTACTCAGTTTTTTATTTAAGCTGTGTCTGCCTTTTGCAAGAGATCAGCTATTTTACACTCATAGTACAGCCTTCAAAAAAGTACAGAAAAAAAATTACAGTAAAAGATGGTAGAAATGATCAGACTTACCAAACCCCTGGAGTGCCCCTGCTAGCATTTGGGCATCCATTATGGGATTAAAATTGGGAGCTGGGAAGATGGTTCCTTGCACCTGCGGGGAAGAGTCAATGAGAAAGAGATTGTAGTAATTCACATTAACAGTTTCAACATTTTTTCCAGATAAATGAAAACAAAATTATATTCTATATGTTGAAATTACCATAAGACATACACACAAGTCTATTAAACAAATCTTTTAATTGTATGTTAATTGTAGAGAGCAAATTTGGGTGAGTTTATTTTATCTATTGGCCTTTACTATGTTGCCATCTATTATTCAAATAAAACACTGAGCTACTAGAAACAATTGTAGAAAAATATAAGAATCAAATCTATTATTCAAATAAAATACTGAGATACTAGAAATAATAGTAGAAAAATAAAAGAAACAAATTAAAAATATATGTCTTCTTAGCAAACAGTAAGCATTTTCTTAGGAATTGGAGACTATTTTAGAGAAATTGTTAGATAACTGTATTGGGGGTATTCATGTCATTGCTGTGAATTAGAAGTGGCACTTGCTACCACAGCTTTTTGTGCATATAAGGGGCCCTAAAATCATATGAGAAAATTGAAATATTTGAATTTAGATAATCAGGTTCATAAAAATCTAGGTGACATAGATAGGGCAAAGATTATTTAGCTAAAGTTCACTGCTTCAGCGGTAAACATAAAACCTGACTGACATTACGTTTAAATTTTTTGTCTTGCCAATAATAAAATGGCAGAACATTTAAGTCAGGCTTTGGACCCACATAGTCCATTATTTTAGATGGAACCAGGTAGGACCATATGATCACACTCAGTACAACAGATCTGTCAATCAAAATTTATCAAGCAGAAGGGCAGCTTTCCCCATTTGTTGTCAGTGTGCCCAGAAACATTGGAAAAAAATGCCTCCCCATGGCAAACGAGTCTTCCAGGCCTCGAGAGCTCAGACATTTCACTGAGCTCTTCTGCAGCAATCCAGTGTTAGCTGAAGGTAAAGCTTTCTAATGTCCATTGTCTAATAGTAGAAAAATAATTAATGAGAACAAGACTAGGCCATAATTTCTAGCTAAATGAATATACATATACCAATTACAAAATATTTCTGAAAAGATTTTGGAGGATTCAGAACACTGTTCACTTAAGACTAAGAATTAAATTCAGTTTGGATTTTATTTCACTGATATTAATAAACATGAAGTTGTTTATTTAAAGTAGACCAAATACCGTATAATAATTGTAATATGACCACATTTTTATACTTAGAAGCACAACTATGGAAGTGGAATGTGCTTCTTAAATGCCTATATGGACAGATATATGTAATTAAAATAGGAGCATAGTCTGCATCTTACATCACTAAAGTACATTCATCCACAAATGAATTTCTGATTTGCTTCTGAGACCTCAAATTTGCTGGAAGTAGTATAGAAATAAAGTTCTTTTTTTTTTTTTTTCCTTTTTGTCTTTTTCCGTGTCCGGCAACGGATCGCAACCCTCAGTGTCGCCCCTGTACCGGACCAGGACCAGCAACGGGATCGCAACCCTCAGTGTTGCCCCCGCGCCTCGCTCAGCCAGTGAGCGGGAACCGGTCTGTATGTGGGATCCGAACCCTCGGCGGGAGCGCCGCCGCACTTCCCAAGTGGCGCACTATAGCAGTGCGCCACCGGGCCGGCCCGAAATAAAGTTCTTTTGAGCCAACAACCAATTCTAGAAGCTACTCACTAGGAGACAACATGAGTTTTATCTCTCTTATTTACTAAACTGTCACATTAGATGAGACTCTATTAGGACAACAGACTGATTTTTCTTTTATTTACTACATTAAGTTCAGATAGCAGATTCTAAAGCAAATTCCTAGTTTGACTTCTCCCCACCTTAAGCATTTTCTTTTTAATCTTGTAATTCTAGAGGAATTTAAAATTTAAATTTTTGAAAGAACAGTCATCTACGTTTAAATGGGAAAATCTATTCTCTGCTATTTGTCATTGTCTTACACTAAATCCTTTGGTTTACACAGTTCTTTGTCAGTTTCTCATTGAAAGAAATTAAAGGTATTTTTTCCTTAATAGACTTTATATTTTAGAGCAATTTTAGGTTCACAGCAATACTGAGCAGGAGGTACAGAGATTTCCTATATGCTACATGCCGCCCCACACATGCACAGCATCTCCCATTATCAACATCTCCTTCCAGAACTGTACATTTGTTACAATTGATGAACCTACATTGACACATCATTATCACCCAGAGTCGATTGGGTACATTAGGGTTCACTTTTGGTGTTGTGCATTCTGTGGGTTTGGACAAACGTATAATGACATGCATCCACCATTATAGTAGCATACAGAGTAGTTTGATTGCCCTAAGAATCCCTTACCCCCATTAAAGATTTTTGAGGCATGAGAAAGAGATACTTTATTTTCTGCTATTTTAGGAGTGAGAAGACTTGTTTGAACCTTACCATTTCTGCCTTGGTGGCTTTAATCTTGCTGAGTGCTATCAGCCAAAGGCAGATAGAAGGGCTGTTTTAAAATTTATAAGAGAAAATGAGCTTGAAAACAATAAGATGTATTGTTAAATATGTATACGTTATCTAGGCAATTTTATTTATTTTTATTTATTTATTTATTTATTTTTAAAGATGACCGGTAAGGGGATCTTAAGTCATGACTTGGTGTTATCAGCATCACGCTCTCCCAAGTGAGCCATGGGCCAGCCCCAATCTAGGCAATTTTAACCATAGAGTGAACAAATGTCCACCACAAAATATTTCATTATGTGGTGATTCTTTCAAATAGAATTCCCCAGAATTTTTACTAGAGTTATGTGCTATAAATGAAACTATATTCCTTTTTGAAAACAGCAACAACAAAAAGCTCTAAAAGTTACAGATAAGGAAGGTTAGAAATGTCTATGGTGATTTATTAATCTGTAGCCCACATATTTTTCTTTCTAGTTTTTTTAATCCTTGGACAGATTACTAATACCATGCAATTTTACAGTATAATGTTTTACAACATAACACAAAAATTGCCTTTCCCTTTTTCTTTATAGTTCTTATCTTTTTGCCACTTAAAATTATTAATTCCTTACTAATTGGCCTTAACATAATGCACTAAAAAAAATGTTTTTGAAATAAATTTAACGGTACAAGTAAAAAAAAATTGTGAATGCTTAGTAATTCATAAACCACAATTTTTTTCTAGTGTTTGTTGTTCATATTCATTTACATAGCATATTAAATCATTATGTATATTTTATGCCAATTAATACGCTTCAGTTAGGTTGATGTCAGCAACATTATTCCACATAAGGCACATATTTCACGTTCTTTTTTACTTATTTGGTCACTGAAATGCTGACTTTGTCTTTTAATGATAATTTTGATTGAACTAACCAATTAAATCTGTTGGAATAGTCAGTGACCAGTCTTAACTTTTATTTGTTCCCTGAATCAAAAAATTATTTAAAAGAATCAAATGACTGATTAATTGCTTTGGGACATAAAAGTTTTTTTAAAAATAGCTGCTATATACCTAGAGGTGCCATCTTTCTTACGGTAACACGAACTTTCTTTTGGATTTTTTCCCCTAAATTTGTGTTCAGCCTCCTTCTATATATTCCCCAGTACCCAGCACCAGTCCCTCAGACGAAGTCAGTCTATCCTGAGCCTTTCTTTCACGAACTCCCTTGCACTCACTGCTTTTTTATTTGTAATAAGTACCTTATGTTTTCCTATTTGTTATCTGTTCTTAAAATTGGCAATTTGACTATGTCATTTATAGTGTTGTTTTATAATATACGTTGTAACATATGTTCTATGGCTTTATTGTTATCTTTCTAATTATATTTTATGTCCTTTGTGTGCAGAAAGTATTACCAAATCTACATACACCATGATTTTCAATGTAGTGTCTTCTTTTTAAAATATTCTCATTTACTGATGATGTCACTTGAATTAAATGGTTTATTTTTTTAAAAAAAATCCTTTCATAAGATTTTTGGCTGAAATAGCTGGCTTTACATACAACTAATATGGTACTTTTTTTTTTTTTAATTACAGACCATACATGAATTAAACAGATTTTTTCAGTTATGATACTTATCATACTAATTGATTTGCATTTAAAAAAAGAACAAAATTAAATAAATCATACTGACAAATAAGAATTAGCTTGGAGAAGAGAGTGTGGGAAAAAGAGCCGTTCCTTGTTGACAGGGCAGAAATTTTCCCCAACCAGATGAATAAACAAGTAAGGGATCTCATAAATGGGAGCAGAGTAAGGCTTGACAGCTGATGTATGTGAGGAGCACAAGACAGAGTTGGGGGTTGGCAGAGACAAGATTACTACAGGACATCTAAAAGATTTTTAGCAAGAAAATGATATCATCTGATTTGAGTAACACTCTACAGCAATGCAAAGGATGAAACAAGAAGAAGCAATACAGGTTTCCGGGGTGGCTAATTTAGAATTCCAGCAGAGATATTATGCACACCTGAACTGAGGTGAATAGCATGTTTCAATAAATACAGATCGTGTGGTTAATGAAATGTAATTTAACTTAGTAATTTTCTGAGAGACATTTTGACTTAACTCAGTAACAGTAGTTTAACCTGAAAGAGGCTGTTGTTTCAGGTGTTTTTCAGAATTTATACCTTTAAAGCAATGCTCCTTTTAATATATATGTTCCTATTTTTTTTTCTGGTCTTAGAGCAAATAGGAAATTTAAAAAACAATGTACACTTTTCAGTGTGACAGTGAAAAACTCTCGTGTGTGTGTGTACGTATTATTTTATTTTTCTTGCTTTGAAAATGGACATATTTAGAAATACTATCACTTGTTTAAGGCAAAATAAATTCTAATGCCTGTGATTTCAATTTGAATTCTTACCCCAAAGTAATTCAAATATAATCTTTGCTTCTAGTCATTTAGGAATTTGTATTTTGACAGAAGAATAAAGAATACTCCCTTTTTGGAAGACAGAATAAACTTCCACATAAACTTCCTAAGCAAGAAGAGCATGAGTAATTTAAAATTTGGTTCTAGAAACTACCTTTC